TATCAGAAATTCGTGCCTAATTTATTGACGGGGCTTAATATGCTAAGTGTCCTATCCCATGAATAAATATTTTTCAGTATCACTACAATAAATGTGTTTTATTATACAATATATATTTTCAAATACAGAACATATATATTGTTGCGAACATTCTCTTGTGAAAAGGTTTGTTTATTCACTCTTTTCGCTTAAAAGTAAACCATTTTTCTATGCTGGTATAATGGTATAAAGTCAAGTCCAAGTGAAAGCAGGATTATATTTATTGCAGTAAATCAAAATAATGCATCATTTTATTTTCTATCAACAGTCAAAACCAAAGTAAAATTCTTATCAACTTCAACAAATACATCTCTTCAATTAACTATCAAAACCTAACTCCAAAACTAACCAACTCAACCAACTCCAACTCAAAACCAACCCAGCTAGTAAAGTACCCTTCTGTTTGCGCAGCTAGGGTGGTGTGCAAAAGTAGATCGTCGCGCGACCTACTTGCGCTAACCAATTTGACACACAACTCAATGTTGCGCGACCTATTAAAAGTGCTGACAATGCCTTAACAATGTTCAAATTGGCCTGCAACTGGTTCAGGTATACAGACTGTTGTACGATACAAACATAAGTTCAAAAATACGTAATAGTTATATTTTACATGTTAACAATCAATAGCATAATTATTATATGTCCAATAATGCAACTTAATAGTGCAAAATATACTTGCATTAATTAATATATATGTATTATATATGGCTTATAAGACCAATACACTTACTACTGATTGATATTTCTATAAACTTATAATACTGACTGATAATTCATTGAATAACAGAAATATAATCTCTCCAACTTTACAACATTATAGCTCAACATTTGAACCAAGTAACCTGTATATAGATAAAGCAGATAGGAATCCCATTCATAAAATCTGATATGACCAAATTATGCTTTGTAAACAACAATTGAGATGCTGAAGGGCTAAAAATAACTTAAATCTTGTACTTTTTGTCTGCGCGACCTCTTATTGCGCGACCTCTCCATATTTGGAACTAGCATGCCTGGGAAAGCGGATTCTTAAGTGTCGCGCGACCTTTGGCTGCGCGACCTTACCAAATTTGGAATGAGGTATGCTCATAATCTAAAAATAACTGAGATGTACTTTTAGTAAAGGACTAGTTTCAAATTTCACAACAATATAGAAAATTATCGCACACAAATATTTTTATGATGAACAAATATTCAGTAGGATTGAATATATATTATGGTATAGAATATAAAATTAGAGTCATACAATAATTTATTAGCCCAAGAATTTGTGCGCTTTAGGGCTTTTTATTATATAGACGATGGTCGCCCTTCGCAAAAGACAGACATCTATGAAATATCAGATTATAAAATCGGTCTGTCTTGCAGTCGAAATATTGAGACTATCATACAATAAAAATATAAATATTGGATATAGACCAATAAAAGACTTATTGAATTTTGCAACGTTTAACATACCATAAATGATTATTAGTTAATTAACAAATAAGGCGTATTATGATTCATTGTAGGAAGTATATGATGTCAGCTTCATATTTAACAAAGAATTTTCAACTGGGTAATTTTAGCTGGCATTCGAAACGACACGTTGGCAGCTTTGTCATAATTGAAAACAACGCGAATATAAATACCAGGTGAGAAAAAAAGGCGTACAGACAGATATGTCTAAAAAAATGACGATAAAATCACCTGAAAAATCGACCCACATTAATCACGAATCTGTCTGCTATATAAACTTAAGGTGTCGGTCATGTCGTAAATAACATGTGTGTAGTTTAAAGGTAAGTTTAACATCCTGCTTACAATATTAACGGTAATTTATTAAGTGTTTACTTTTTTAACTTCTCTCCTTTCCTTCTTGTTTTCTTCATCTTATTCTTAGAGATATACTGTGCTCATCCTTGAGAAAACTATTTTAATTACAGGAATATTTTGGAATTCTTACTGTACATGTCTAATTAGAATAAAAGAATGAGTAAACTGCGTTCACAATAAAAGTTAAAGTAATGCTGTGTTTTCTTTAAAAAAAAAAAAAGAAAAACCAAAAAAAAAACAAAAAAAACAGCCAGTTTATTTTATTTACACTATATATTTATATTGTGACCACGTATTGGTAACAAATTGGTATTTATATCATTACTGACAATATGTATTATTTTATGTAAAAACTTTTGTTTGTGTCCCGTTATGATTGGATCATCGTATGATCTGTAATTTGTATCCAATGAATTTTGCTAGGATTGCAAGTCTAAGTGAAATCCATTTCAGTAAAGCATAATTTATAGATATAAGATAGCTCCTGTCACCGATGTCATTTGTTGTTTTCTTTCTTGTCACTAAGCTACTTTTATCTACAACATAATCCTCTAAGGTTTAATTTGAATGTAGTTAAGTTACTGTATATCTGCAGTGTTAAAATTACTCTAATCATGAACTGTAAATATATTTAAACATAATCTTTACAACATATAACTTCCTCATTCTATTTCTCATTGCACTTTTCAGAAAATAACTGATCCAGATGTTACTTTAGTTTATCTTGTTGATCTAATAGGGAAGTTAAACAAATATTAACAGGTAGGGGATCTTTTATTAAACTTGTCATTTCGCAATAACTTTATTTGAAGTATTGGTTTTGCTTAAACCGGACGTTTGAATAAGCGTTTAACAAGTACTCATTTCTTCTAACGTTCTGTTTAAATACTTAAAGGCCCACCAAGTCTTAACATGCCATAATTCTCTTTTTTTTTCAACAGCGTTTTATTTTTGATGTTCCAATGTAGTTTCCATAATAGCCATATTTTGCTTTGCATTTTATCAAATAGTAGAATTATAATGATTTTTTAAAGTAATCTTTATGGCAGTCAAATTGCCATTTTATTTACATTTTGATCCCTTTATCACAAATAAGTACACAGGCAGCACTCATTTGGGAGACACAGGCACAATTTTTATTTCTTCGTTTTGAATTTACAGTCATTAATATGTAAATGACCTCAAAATGAATACACATGGTGGTTTCCTAACTTGACCCACGTGGGTCAGGTTAGAGCGTTAAGATTTCACAATTGTTGTCACTGTGAACTCTTGAAATGTTAAAGAACATGTCAAATGCAATATCAATATCAACAATATCTATTATTGTAACTGCCAGGGTTTGTTCAAGTCACATGACTAGTTTTAAAACTATACGGTGATTCTGTCCGCGTCTAAATTCCGTTCAACATATATAGATATATTCATGCTTCAAACCCAAAATATATAGAATTTATACAGAAATACATGCTGGGACTTTTAAAAATGTCATTTTAGCGTGATTTGAGTTGATAAGATAAGTTTGATACGTTTGTCATTAATTTGCGTGAGTATCCCTTTAAGGGGGTAAGCATCTTTCGTGCTCTAAATCCATAACTACGAAGATATAAACACATATTTAAAGAAAGTAAAATGTGTTCATTCCTAAGCTTTATGTGCCTAAACACTTTTCGATTTCGTTGTAAAACACTCCTTTCTTATGTTATCTTAAGCTTTAATCAGTTAACCCGGAACAGACCTTCAATATATTGAAATATATAATACTCGAGACCTCAAGTTGAAGTCAATATTTAATATAGTTATAACAGTATTTTGTATGGCATTACTTTTGGTGGACTAAGAATCTCGTGTACGTATTTCATTCTGAAACAATGTTTTATCAGCAATTTGACATTTGATATAAAAATAGGAAGTTTTAGAAGTATAAAATGTATGAAAGTGTAAGTTACTTTACATACCTTTTCAAAAATTACAGTGTAAGTTTTTTAAGATACGACGTATCTTTTAAGATTCGGAACAAATTCAATGTCGAATTAAAATGTGTTTCTTTGTTATGTAGATAAAGAACAACTTCCATAATCAACATGAACGACAACTCAAAGTAATACTAAACACTTTCTTTTATTTATTTATTTATTTATTTATTTATTTATTTATTTATTTATTTATTTATTTATTTATTTATTTATTTATTATAATTAATATTGAATATTATTAAATCTCGAGCAGTTTGCAATCTAAATAAGCAAACACACAAATTATAAGTTTTAGTTCCGCGTATTAATCGTTTGTTTTTTGTTGTTTTTGCTTTTGTTGTTGTTGTTGCTTTAACGTTTTCTTTTTTAGCGCATGTGTCTTTTACTTCACATTGCTTCCATTTGTTATGCTTTATGTATAATTCTACTACTATGCATATGATAAAAGATTCGACAAAAACAAGTTTGAAACATATATCTCATAAAATGACAATTTAAATTCGATAATGTATTGTAGATACGAAAAAACAAGTTTAAGACATATAGTTTATGATGCTGTAAAGTGTTTTCTGCTATAAGTTAATATACCACAAATATAAAATATATTTCATACAATTAAAATATATCAAGCCAGTGCATATACATATTAAATATATTATTGAACACATAACTCACCCAAAGCTTGCGGTCGTCGAATCTAAATTATTATATTCTGTTTTAAATTAAATGAATAAATAACATTCATCATTTAAATCGTTCAACAAATTGTAATTGTCCTACCAAAATGTTAATGTTATTTCATTTTTTTATAAATTAACCATTAAATTGAATAAAATCCCTATATAGAAAAAAATCAGATGAATATAATTTTACACCATGAGCTGCCTTAATTATGATTAAGTATAAACTTAACTTACTTAACTTACTTTAAATCAATCAATATAATGTAGTTTTGCTACAATCTATTTTTGGAATTTATTACGACAAACCGTGGATATTGATTTAAAGTAGCTAGGTAATGGTTTGTTTTCTTTTTGTTTGTTTGTTTGTTTGCTTGTTTGTTTTATTAAACATATTTCTACTGTATGATTGTTTAAATGGATAATATCAATGAACGTCCAAGGTGACAAGGTGTCCATGGAACTATATGATTATGTAGATATTAGATCGAGAAAAAAGAATAACCGCATAATGTATATTTTGGCGTATCCACGTGGAACGAAGTTGATATATTCGTTAAAAAGCACATACAATTGGAAACTTATATTTAATTTATTAAATGTAAAATTTCATTTCTTATGGGAATACTTTAAACAGTTTTTGATATTTAGGTAAGTTACTGTACTTGTTTAAAATTTAATTATAAATAATAGTCCTTTCGTTAAGTAAATATGATGCACTTCATGACAAACATGTGGAATCTATTGTGAGATTTCATGATATTAAACGGAAGAAAACATGTTAAAACTTACCAAAACAACGTTGTTTAAGTCAGGACACACGTTATTCTATACTGTCAATGTGATGTGTCACAAATACTTACTCTATACTAAACTCACATCTAAACGGGTGAAGTTTAGAGAACACTGCATTTTAGATATGCCTTCTTTTGAAAAATCATTTAAAAAAGAACATTTAAAAAATTTGAACTGTTAGAATATCACATCGTAAAAATTGAAAACGTTATCATAGTGTAATTGAGTTCAAAATAACCAGAACGTATCTTTGCATAGTTGATATGGTGTATTATGTTTATAATCATGATACATAAATCGTTATAAACCTGTTCTAAATAGTTTTTTTATGACCGTTTATGACACAATCTTTATGTAGGTCAGATAAGAATGATAATTGTAATAAATTTTATCTTTAGTTTCAATACAATCACTATTTGCTAAAAAAAGGAACACGCTATTGTTTCAAATGATCGTTATTGTTAAAATGTCATGTCAATGAGTGTAGGTGTTCATATCTTAATCTTATATATAAATCTTCTATTTCTGAATTTGAGAATGGTAGAATGGCCTATGACAGGCACCTTTGAAAACAAATGCTTTTAGGTTAACCAAAGATATGTTTAAGGTGCATTCAATAGGTGGGGCTAAAATGTAAATTTATCACATGGGTATACTTTAGTCTCAAATATTGCCACACCTATTTTTTATTAAAGAAAAAAGGTAAGCATGTTTTTAAAACGATACATTAAATATCGAAAAGGGAAATATATAAACATTAGATTATAAAAATGCGATGAGGTTATGAAGATATAATTAATTGTTAATAGTCAATAGTCAACGCAATTAAGCTAATATTTGATTTTATTTGACTGTATATAAAATGTTTCAGAAGGACTTAAGTGCATTCAAGGGGACATCAACAATTTATCAGTGGGCATTCTAGTGCTTATTTTATCAATTTGTATAAGAATATCAAGAAATTTGTTAAATTATATTTGTATTTGCCATAATGCTATTTGCATTTGTTAAGTAACAAGTGTTTTTACATCGTAATTAACAGTCAGTCAGAGCCTTACCACATGCCAAACTTAGAAAAATAATTAATAGAATAAAGAAAGTTTAAAGGTTACATTTGTTTATCAACTTATCTAGGTAAAAAGATCTCCGGATAATTAGATATTTAACACATTGATTTGCTAAATAACAAAATATAAAAGAAACTATTGTTTCAACTATTAAGAAATGGACTTTCAAAACTAAGTTTTTCTTCTTTTTCGTTTCACGAGATTCTTTTTAGTTTCAAATAATGTAGTACTGATCTTTAAAAAAATGTTAATCGCAGTATTTATAAATGAACAAATAAAGAGTGTGGTTTTCATTGTAGGATATATTATCTCAACTTTATATTTATCAAAGAAATTTCAACCAGGTAAACATAACTGGAATTCAAAACGACACGTTGGCAGATTTGTCATAATTGAAAAAAATACGAATATAAATACCATGCGGGAAATAAGGTGTTTTATCTACACTGCACTGAATGGCACAGATATTTCGTAAATTTCTTATTTAAATCATGACAATAAAATCACATGACAATCGACCCACATTACTGATATATATAAATCTAACGTGTCGATCATGTTGTAAATGACATGTGTGTAGTTTAAAGGTAAGTTTAATATCATGCTTACAATATTAACAGTTATTAATAAACAGTGTCCTTTTTTAACTTCCTTCCTTTCCTTCTTATTTTTTTCTTATTCTAAGAGATATACTGTGCTCAAGTTATTCAATTAAACCCGGAACAGACCTTCAATATATTAAAATACACGAGACGTAGTTATAAAGTATTTTGTTTGGCATTGCTTTTGTTGGCTAAGAATTTATTGTACGTATTTCTTTCTGAACAATGTTTTATCAGCAGTTTGACATTTGATGTAAGATAGGAAGTTTTAGAAGTATAAAATGTATGAAAGTGTAAGTTACTTTACATACCTTTTCAAAAATTATAGTGTAAGTTTTTAAAGATACGAGGTATCTTTAAAGATTCGGAACAAATTCAATGTCGCATTAAAATGTGTTTCTTTGTTATCTAGATAAAGAACAATTTCGATAAACAACATGAACGACAACTCAAAGCAATACTAAACACCTTTTCTTATTTATCTATTCATTCATTCATTTTTATTTATTTATTTATTTTTATTTATGTATTTATTGTGTGCCATGGACTGTCGAATATTATTAAATTTCGAGCATTTGGAAATCTAAATAAGCAAACACACACATTATTAGTTTTAGTTCCGTGTATTAATCGTTTGTGTTTTGTTGTTGTCGTTTTTGCTTTTGTTGTTTTTGTTGCTTTAACCTGAATCATATTAATAATGTTATTGCATTTTTCGTTTTGTTTTCTTAGTGCATGTGTCTTTTACGCCACATTGCTTCCATTTGTTATGCTTTATGCATAATTCTACTACTATGCATATGATAAAAGATTCGGTAAAAACAAGTTTGAAACATATATCTCATAAAATGACAATTTAAATTCAATAATGTATTGTAGATACTAAAAACACGTTTGAATGATGCTGTAAAGTACTTTCTGCTACTAGTTAATATACCACAAACATTAAATATATTTCATACAATTAAAATATTCCAGTGCACATCGTAAAAATTGGAAACGTTATTAGTGTGTAATTGAGTTCAAAATAATCAGAACGTGTCTCTGCATAGTCGATATGGTGTATTAGGTTTAAAATCATGATACATAAATCGTTATAAACCTGTCCTAAATAGTTTTTTTTATGACTGATTTATGACACGATCTTTTTGCGTAGGTCAGATAAGAATGATAATTGTAGTACATTTTATCTCTAGTTTCAATACAATCACTATTTGCTAAAAAAAAAAGGAACACGCTATTTTTTCAAATGATTGTTATTGTTAAAATGTCACGTCAATGAGTGTAGGTGTTTCATATCTTGAACTTATATATAAATCTTCTATTTCTGAATTTGATAATGGTAGAATGGCATACACAGGCACTATTGAAAAAAATGATTTAAGGTTAACCAAAGATATGTTTTAGGTGCATTCAATAGATGGGAACGAAATAATGACCACAAATATACTTTAGTCTCAAATATTGCCACACCTATTTTTTATTAAAGAAAAAGTTAAACATGTGTTTAAAAACGATACATCAAATATGGGAGAGAGAAATATATAAAAAAAATAAGGATATAAAAATGCGATGAGTTTACGAAGATATAAATATTTGTAAATAGTGAATAATATAAAAACTTAATTGTGCGTAAACGTTTATATCTTGTGAAATCTCCTATTGTTTTCGATACGTTATATATCTTACCATTTCACGTGCTTCTTTTCAGATATGAATTCACGTCTTGAAAGGATTTAAAACATTTTTTACAAACAACCCAAATGTGTATACCTTTTTCATCCGAGCACGAGCAGCCATATTTGAATACAGAGCAGTCGAATTGTCAAGGACATAAACATCATAAAAGTTTAAAAAACGCAATAAGAAGATGCATAATACAAGCGCGAGTGATGTTTGCACGTGACATTCGTGAAGCGCATGCACTACATATATATTCTAGCAGGAATGATGGAACACATCCAATGTTAAATCGACAGACCATTTTCCTACCAGGAACTGTTTCCCAACATTTTTTATGACACAGAAAAAAATAGTTTCAAATTGACATGAGAATTATCGTGTAATTATTTGCTTTCATTTATTATATGATTATTTTTCTAAAAGGGTACGATGAATGATATATGAATGAAAGATTTGTTGTAAATAACATGAATAAACATAGGCTTGAAACACAGCCGCAACAAGTTTCTGACGACCAATCAAGTCAAGGAAAAAATGAAATTGCCTTTTCAAACGGATTTTCATATTTATCGATTGACCTTGAAAATAAAAGTCCAACCGGAAATCATCACTTGTTTACAGAAAATTTTCTCAGAAATCAGCTACGATCAAGAACACAGCCGCCTGTCACAAATTCAGTACATGTAAAGCCGTCTGGCAGACCCGCAGTCCCTCCTAGATACCCAGAATATGCGGGTTATAGCGAAAGGTTGCGTTCATATGCAAGATGGACCAAAAACAATCCCGATCCTACTTCTTTAAGTAAAGCTGGATTTTTCTTTACAAGTGAGAATTACATCATTTTTAATTTTTGAAATGTTTTGTAGATTACAGTGCTTGTTGTTTCATTTTTTTAAAAACTTATTGATTTCATCATTCCCAAATTCATATTTATTTCTTTCGATTTAGTGAAATATTTTTGTTCATGCAGCGTTATGATTTGCAACTTTTGACACATATGCTGCAGACTAATGAATAAAAATAAAAAAATAAGTTAATTAGTACATGACCCTGCTAAAATATTTTTATGGACAAGAACTACTTTGCCGAGATATTGAAGATAAAATTTCAGAAACATTTCTCAATAAGACCCTTTCCTTCAACACAACATTTTTTAAATTGTAGATCGATTAATATTTAGAGTAACTGATCGATTAACAAACGCTTGAAATTGTTATATGTCTGTCACAAGTGCAAACAAAGGAACTGTCTCATCAATATTTCAGTTTGATTATCTTTATTTATTTTGTGTAGATCAATACGACCTGGTCCGTTGTTTTCAATGTGGGATAGGCTTAAAAAACTTCTACCTCGGAGATGATCCTTTGGAAGAGCATGTGCGAAATTTTCCGACTTGCCAATATCTGGAAGATTATCTTGGAAAAGAACGCTTGTCGGCAATAAAGGTATAACAAAAGATAATTATTGATTACAGTTTGTTTTGTCCTCTTCATATATTTTTTTCGCATTTAAAATATAACAAAATTACATCAAATTCTGTCCATTATGCAATGTGCATTTTAATGATTATATTTCAGGAAAAGTTTCAACCAACCATAGATTCAAATCATGAACAAAACACACGTATGTATCATTATATAAGCTTATAGTTGAGTTTGCTTACAAATCAGATAAAAACCAGATGGGAAATAAAAGCTGAATTGAAATAGGATAAGATTGCGTAGAAATATATATTGCCCATACTACTGAAAGTTGTATAGTTCTGATGTAATGAGAGACTGTACGTCACGGAACTTGTTAATGAATATTGAATATCTTCAACTTAACAACTTTATTACTCAAAGGTCCGGAGCGTTGAATTATGTACTAAAGCATTAGATTCAGGTTTAAAGAAAAAAAACGCACACAAACAAATTAGTAAAATTAGTCAGAATTAAGTATTAAAACATAGAAAAGCAAATAAGTAACAATAGTCAAAGTTTCATTTAATGTATATCATTATGCTTGCAATTTCAGCTGAATTATTTGCAAACACGCATATAAACGAAGATTGTCGACATCCGGAATATTCTAGCGTTCAGTCACGGATTGCTACTTTTGTTGGATGGCCAAGACATATATTACAAAGGCCACAGGATTTAGCGGAAGCTGGCTTATATTATACAGGTAATGTAACCTGGCTTTTCAAATACCTATAATTGCTAGGATAAGAGTAGTACATTCAACATTGTTTCTGACCTAGAAATTAATATGTTTTATTTGATAACTTGTACTTTAGGTATTGATGACCAAGTACGTTGTTTTACATGTGATGGTGGACTCCGGAGATGGGACCCTGAAGATGACCCATGGACGGAGCATTGCCGTTGGTTTCCTACATGCTCGTTTGCCAGACGAATGAAAGGAGAATTGATAGCATTGATTCAATCGTCTACTAAATTAACAAATGGGGTAACTGATAAGTTTTTCTTAATTGTGAATCTTTTAATTTAACATGTGCATCACAACGTGTACGAAATGAAATACAACCAATGTATTTTTATTATGTTAAGGATGACGACCAGTCAAGTCATACAGAACATATTGAAAAGTCGGCGGATATTTCAAGTAAAATGGAGCAAATGACGCTGAGAGATCCAGAGCTTCAAACTTCTTTGCAAGAACATAAAGACACTTGTTTAGAAATGGGCTTTCAGTTAAAAGATATCAACGCTGCTGCTGAAGAATTGATCATGCAAGGTACATATGAGTTACTAGTATCTGACATTATGTTTACAATGACGTTCCTTTGATATTTATTTAATTGTATAATTCATCATATAATTTTGAACAATTAAAACTTGTTTGACTAACGAAAAATGCACATGTTTCTTTTGATCTGAAGAAAGTAAAGACATTTTTCTTTAATTAAAGTCATATGGGATTGTAAAGGAAAATAAGTATGATATTCCTCGATAAGAAGGCAGTTAAGGTCGTCCTGAAATTTTGTGCCAGGATCAATGATTATTATAATCATTATTGTAATTATAATTTTTGTTTGTTATGCTTTAAAAATGTTAATCAATACATACAGGTAAGGTGAAACCTACAATAGATGAACTAATAGACACAATCTATAACAGAGAAACACAACTCCGGATAGAAAAAGAACAAGAGATCATTGAACATGGTACGGTAATTACAATAATAATTTTGTAATAGCCGGTAGTTATAATTAACCTCTTATATTGACACCTATATACATGTATTAGGCATGCCCGTTAGTGTCTCATTTTCCCCAGTACAATATATAACTTTATGGACGGCACTAATATAGACAAAAACCAAAACAATCTTTACCTTACTTGATGAATACGCTGACACTTTTCATTGCATTCATTACACTGTTTTTTTGTCAATGATTATCAAGACTTGCCACAGGCCAAGCTTAACATTTTTTGTTGATTTTATTCGTAATAAAGAAACGATGTAGTGATAAATGATAATGTGTAATTTCAGAAACTCCTTTAGAAGAAAATAAGAGGCTAAAAACTATCATCATTTGCACGATGTGTGAACAAAACAACACTAATGCTCTATTTCTGCCCTGTACTCATCATCGTTTCTGCATGGAATGCGCAGAACCATTAAGACGGTGTCCAGTTTGCGATAAAGTTATACGTCAAAAGATACGCACATACTTAGTTTAAAATTAGAAATTCGAATATCTTGTAATTCAAATTATATTACATTTTATGATCTGCATTTCTTTTGTTTTCTGCATATTTCAGGCGGATACATATTTACAGAACCTGATAAGGAAATAGATGCTAGCATTGATTGCATCGTGTGCAACATTGCTGTATATAAAGTAATAAATTCTTTATCTATCGCGAAAACATTCAAGCGTTTACTTAACTTATGAATAATATCTACATTTACATCTATACGTTAAACTGTCAAATATGACATTTCTTTAACGGTGATATGCTGCTTAAAATATATAGTCGAAATTAGTATAGGAAATATTAGGAATATATACATTTAGTGATTCTAGTTTTCTAGCGAAATTACCAGACTTCTTTTTATTTCCTGACCACAAAGTGCAAGTAACAAAATACTAATTCGATAATTTGGGATCCCTTTTTATAATTAAAACGAAACATTGATAGTTAAAATCAACGTTTAGATAACCAGTGAATGATGACAATTTACAACTTTAGCTTGGTTTATGTTATATCATACTTTCGTATCTCACAAATACCTTAAAGAGATTAAGAATACGACACGTTTAAGGACATATTTATCTACACGCGTATTTATCTTTAAGTATACTATTTAAAAAAAATTTAAGTACACATGATTAGAAATTCTGTTGACATCACTTGATAGAATAGTTTCATTTTAAGACTTTCTCGAATTGTGTTTTAACGAGTAGGTTTAGTAAATAAGTCCATAAAATGATGTCTGTCATTACATAAATGATTATTCAGATCGTATTTAGACGATACATGACAGCACACCACGAAAGATCTATATATGGTATATATGTTTGTAAGTGTGGATATCACATGTCTATATATTGCAGTTCATTAATTTTTCTACAACAAATGATAACGAGTACTATTTATCATATAAATGATCATACCGAACAGTTTAAACTTTATCCGCATTAATTTTCTTTTTCAAGAAATATTTAATAAAAATATTGAACTGAACATTTTTATTGTTTTTAACAAATAGTTTCAATACTTATGGAAAATATGCTTATTGTAAACCAATCAATTTAATTACGTATAAATATAAATAAGTCATTTAAATAATTTTACAAAATATCATAAATTAGTCATTCTAAATAATTTTACTAAACTATGATATCGAACAACAAATCTGCTCCGTGTGTTTTCAATCATATGAAGTAAAAAATTTGATTCATATAAAAAAGTTGATACTTCACTTGTAAATATGACACGTAGTCGTACGATATTTTTTACTTATAAATTAATGTTTGATTATATATTGGTCTTTATTTATCGCATGAGAAAAAAATCGAATTATTTTATTGGAAAGATAGGACGAATCTTAACTAAAGTTTGGCTTGTTATACTATATTCGAATCTGACAAACCCTAAACAGCTTTAAAATTTTAAATGTATTATCCCCCTACACTTAATTCAAATAAATTGTTCCAATTTTAAACGCAATGCTCATGTTAAGTGTCTAAATAAAAGATAATGGGAAGATTTATTCCGTACTGAAATATAAACTCATTATGCGGTGAACCAAAGAAAATGTCAACATTTTTCGAGATATCATTTCCTTCGACTTTAATTACGTATTAGTTATACGAGGGATGTCCGGAAAGTTCATATACTTCTTCATTTTTATTGTATAATAATACATATGTTGTACAAATTTTGTCAGCAAAAATATACATATCTAGCGAACACATTTATAAAAAATTACTGAACTATGACTTAAATTTGTATTTTAACAGTAATTACATACAACATATATACCTCATCATGGAGCACTTTGACAACGTAGTATATTACGAGAATATAACACTGGCTGGGGCGACATCAATGGGTGTTTCTGCTAAAAATGTCGGGCCCGTTAAGGCCTCAACAGACGGTAGGATTTTGAAGTACGACATCAATTAAAACTAAGATGTACAGGCGAAGCAAATCTTAATGTGTGAAGACTACTATTTCTCGAATTCGGACACCTTAAGTCTAGATGTAAGGGATAAGACATGTTCTATTTTGAAAATCTTGTCGTACAGATTTCTACAGACCTCCCACAATTACAAGTAACAGATTACCAAATTATCTCCTGATAATGAGTGTAGTGAATGAAATTCCTGAACAATTAGGGCTAAAAGGTAAACATAGTAGTAAGATGGGATAAAAATGATGTTGAAAAACTCTTCAGGAGACCCAAAGTTGTGTTATGTTCGAATCCCAAATTATTCCGAAAATGATTATGTCACGGTATTGAACTGTTCTCTAATTAGAGGAGGGGAGGTAGTGTGTAGGCGGCCGGATAGCTTAGTCAGTAGAGCCGCAGTACGGTATTCCTAGGGTCCCAGGTTTGAGTCTCGGTCAGGCTTCACATTAAAAATATATATATATATATTTTTAAATGGAGGTGTATCGATCATTACTCATGGCGAAAAAAGTATTTTGTGAGTAAAGTATGTAAAGTATCAATTGGGAGGGATCCATTTAAGGGAAACATCAGATGATTCCTACAGTGTAGAATTACCGTCTGAATATAAGTGTTGTATTGGTTTGAAAATTGTACATCTTATCTCTAATTAGTGCTGTACAGCTAAATCCTACCGTCTGTTGAGACCTTTAGGCTGAGACAATTTTTTTGTGCAGAAACATCCCGAGATGTCGCCCCAGCAAGTGGTGTTATACCCCCGTAACATTTTCATTTTTTAGTAATAGAAATCAGAAAAAAAAATACAAAAAACGTGCATTTCTCTCTCTTGTGCCCTTTCACTTTCTCACCTTCTCACTCCCAGATAAAACGAATACCAGCTAATAATGTCGTAAGCTACCTGACAGCTTTACAGTGGAAATAATTCATTCAGCGGATGTACCTTTTGATTTCAGCAGCTGCATAATTATATGGGAAAAAGTAATTTCATTAACTTTCTTTTTAACTTATTATCGTTAAAATTATTATTATTTCTTCTCTTTTTTTTTTTGCTACTGGGAATGTTCGTTTCCGCGGCCCCATTGGAGCCTCAGTGAAAAAAGTTACACTGATATATACAAGGTGCGAAAAAAAACCTCAACCGCTATATAGCAGCTGAGTTCTTTTTCCTATATGATCAAATGCTCTTTGAAAGTGTACTGAGTAAAATGGGTTAGTAAGAACTAAGGAAAAGTTCCAAACATTGCGATAAGATGATGCTAAATTTGGAAAATCGTTTGGATTTTCTTTTAGTATATCCGGAGATATTCATATTTGAGATTATGTCATTTTTGTCAAATATTGGCATTATACATGTATATGTGAGAGCAATTATTGGTATTGGCTGTTTTTTAATAATGTATTAAAAAAAAAGAAACAACACACACACTCACACAAAAGAAAAAAATATTTTCAATTTGTATATTTCTTGGCAAGAAAAGCGACGACAGTAGTTTATAATCAGACATTTACTTTTGCATAATTATTATCTCTCTAATCAAAGTCATAGTGACAATGTTTGTTAATATAAAGTAAATTTTATTATGCATACGTATAAATAAAATTGAAATTCTTTAATTACAATTTTATGAAGATTACATTTGAATCTATAAAAAAGCATTTACAATTGTTGATGTCCTCTTTCAAACATACCTAAACGCACAGAAGGTTTTACGAACACGTATAAAAGGGACATGACTTAATTTAGCAGGAACTTAATCATTTTGAATGATTCAGACAGTCGAATCAGATTGCAATGAATGTACATTTCCGTGCATTTCGTCCATCAAATTAACGGATTGACAATATGGTTTCTACGTTTAAGGTCAAATGAATACTTAACTCGCACAACTTTCTTTAACACAGCTTTTAGCAACGATTGTATTGTTGGGGAAAAACACTACCCAAGTGTAAAACCGTGTCAACACTTGGTAGAAATTTTCAATTTACATTATACTGGTACTAAGTGTTATTATTTGAATATAATTACTGTAATAGTGGAGCGAGAGGGGGATAAAATATCTAATTTAACTTTTAAATTGATTATCTACAAACAGCCTGTAGACACTCCCTTCGCAGCTCACTGAATATACTACCGTTACTTCAGACCGTTGCTTTAATGAGCATAGATTTTATTATCTTGACCTGTATTAGTCAACTTTGATCGACCGATGAAAGTTAACAAAATTTCGTTTGACGCGAAAATCTTCATACGCATTTGCATTGGTTGAAGCAGATGACGTGACTGCAACATTTATTAATAGACGGGCATTTCCTCGCCAGTTTATGAACAAAATAGCGTCTCCCACATATCTCTGCTGAAGTAAGTGAGCAATAGTGAAACATTCGAGAGTACAAACAACATACAATTTATTGAGTTATCAAGGCTTTTAATTAGCTTACACGCAAGTGTCTTCAAATATATAGTCAGCGTGACCACCATAACATCTCATCTGATATGATCATGTAATAAAACTGAGACGTAGGCAGGGTAAAATTACCATTGCTTTTCAAGGAAGAACATCAGTTTTCAATAGTCATTTATCGTTGATTTTATTGATTTACTACTTCGAGTGCCCTTGATTAATTGATCATACATTGAGAAACTGTCAGATGCTGTTTCAAAGATGAGATTTAAACAAGTGATGTAACGACAATTATATTTACCACAGAAAATACAATAAATAAAAAATAGAATACAAAAAAACGCCCAGAAGACAAAATTGAAAATGTTGCAGACCCGCTTAATTGAGACTGTTAATACAGTAAGTAAAAGCTATCTTTTACACCCTTGATGAGGATTCTTTGATATGATGTGGATGATAAAGCTGTATAAATCAGATCATGAGAACATGATACATACATGTAAATTAAATGAGCATAATGTAATTTCCTTGGCAAGAATAATGCATAATATTTTAAAGTTATTACAGCTCACATCTCACAGATCTTCTTCTATATGTGACACAGTGTCAAGTCCAAACAATGTAAAGAATTTCATCTTACTTACCAAAATATTAAAAACAGCGTTCTCCAGATCCGTGTTTATTTTTATAAAA